CCTGTCACGCGCCCCCTTTGCCAGCTTCCGACCCTTTCCTCGTCCGCGCCGCGATGGCTGCCCGGCGCGGGGCGTCGGGTTTCATAAAGTGGGTTATTGTTGCTTAAACCGCTCTGGCCCGATGCCACGTCCTGTCGCAGGTGTAATTTAATAACACGTTTGAAAGATAAACATGTATACATACACGCTAGGGTGCTGAGCGGGAAGGGCTGTGTTTCGGGGTTGACTGGTTTTCAGCAGCCACATTCGCGTTGGTGTGACAATATACTCGGGAAAGGAGCTTTAGGAGTTGCCAGATAGAAGATGTTAATTTGAGAAACAAATTGAACTCCTTGGTAGAAATAATATAAACTTTCATCAAAACTCTAGCGTGTAATACTGCTGTAACATGTTTTTCTTTTTCCACTGCGGAACAAATAAACTACTCTTGAAGAATCTCTGTAGTTTCTGATTAAAATAATAGCCCAGCAAACTGATGACAGTTGTCACTCATCATCGTCTTTGTCAACAGTGCTTCAGGGCTTTCTAGTGCAGCAAATGTTGTTTTAGGATACAAGAACCTGGAGTTTTGTTCAAACTGGAATAGTTATTCTGTCTGAGGTTGGTATTTATTTTACTTCACCCTGGAAAAATAGGATGTAGTATTATTATATATATATATACACACACACACGTATACATATATCTGAGTGTGTACGTATGGGATAACATATGTGGTGTTATGCTATCAGTAATTCAAATATACCGATGTTAATTGAAAATCTGTTTTACTGGATACTATTCCTTCTGTTCAATTCAGTTAGCGTGGTCATGTTGCATACGGTAATAGCAGACTAAGTAATTTTAAAAGATTATGAAGACATTTAATGGAGTCTGTTTTTTCTTTGTGTGTTTAAATAAATCTAACACTTAAAATAAAAGAAAGGGGGAAAAACATGCCTGTAAACTTTCATGCTGTATGTTTCTGGTTTGCGTTTCACTAAGGTTAAGGAAAGTAGTTCAAATTTCTGATTTTCCAGCAAAGATATGTGGAGGTTGAACTCTGAATGTGATGAATATTTATTTTATCTGGGTTGAAATTTAAAAGGAGGTGGCAGTGAGGGTATAGGTCTGTTTAAGCAGCCTATAAAAACAAAACAAAAAGAAACCTGCATCTGTAACTTTTCTTTAGAAAAAAATGACAATAAAGTTATTTAATGAGAAGCCAAACCAATGCAAATTTTTTTTCCTTCTATATGTGTTTGAAACACAAGCGATAAGAAACATCCTCTAGTAACCCCAGGTCTTCTGCAATACCGCTAGCTTCTTACCTATCTACAGACCCTCAAAATAACCTCAGTCGTCAACCATGTCTTCTGCTTCCCTTATCCTCTAGTTTTCTTTGTGTATGTCCTGACCAACTTCTACTTGCTGAATGGATGAGAGTGCACCCATGAGTAGCAGGTCTGGCTCCTCCTGCATGTTGGGAGAGGATCTGGTGGAAGACCTGAGTGCTAAGTGACCAGCTGTTAAGCCGCTCAGAACAGATAGTGTCTGGATTATCCTGTAGCTCTCCTTTCAGTAGGAACATGGATGTGGTTATTTCTTATGTCTCCAGTTATATATTAAAATAAACAACAAAACCCCAAAGCTGTAGGAATAGAGTAGTGTTACAGATTTATTTCTCTGTCACATTTGGTTGAAGTTGCCCAGTGGACCCATAAGAAACAAGGCTGATAGTTTGGTGGTAGTTGATCAGATGGATGGACACACAGGCAGACAGAGTGCAGTAGAATAAGCTTTTATTTTCTTAATTTAGGAACAAATTGAAACAGTACCTTCTCTAAGTTAAACTTTTCCAGTGTTTCATGTGACAAAATGCTGTTTTATGGTGCTATTATTGAAAAAAAATCCAATACATTATTTTTCTTGTTATTACCATAATAATTGATGGCTATATACTTACTACAGAATGTTTTATTAATGGTGATCATTAAACTAAAAAAAAAAAAAAGCTCATAGTAGGTGCTGGGTGTGGAATGGAAAATGGATTTTTTTTTTTATTTAATCAGTTGGATTCTTGAGACTGTAACCTTGCATTAGAACATTGGAATTGAGGTAGAGGGAAGGGGATATTGAAAGTAGAATGTCTTAAAATTTTTTCCAGTGTAGTTTTGCTAATTACAACAGTATTATTTTTTTGTACACATAGATTAGATTAGCTTCTGGCCCGGTAAAGACACATCTGTGAAAGTTTCACAGTTTGGGAACTTTCCAGATTTATTATGTCAGGTTACTTGCTGTGTTCTTCTAGCTTTTATGTGTGTGAAATATATTTCAGTTGCAAAAAATCCTCAAAATCTACCTGCAAATATTTCATGTGTTTTATAAGACTATGTAATGGTTTAAGTAATGCAGTGTAGTTACATTTTTATTCTACGGTTTATAATGTATCTGAGGTGGAAGAAAATGAGTTTTTGTATTATGTGATAATATAGGCTGTAAAATGAAAACTTCCAAATGTGAACACTTTCTGTAATATTAAATTATTACTTTGGTGGTGGTAACTGTTCTGATGCATAGAAAGATTTTCTGTTTCCTATTTGATGTACAGACTGGAATATATTTACTGCATGACAGTTCTTTTGCATAATCCAAAATGCTAAGTTAGACAAAGTCTTTCAAGACTGCAACATTTTTGTTTTCAGGTAGACAGTCAGGCTGACTTAATTCCTCCACCAACTATGTCCTGTGAAGCTAGAGCAGGTCTCTGTGAAAAGCTTTATTTCTGAAAACTGGAACAAATTTCCTAGCTCTTTATCCCTGTTGCCATTTTACTGCAACCCATTAGCATCTTCCTAATTTGATAGTAAATATGCTTTTTTTTTTTGTCTGTCCTGCTCAAAACTAGTATTATCATTATTTTTTAATATCCACTATCCAAGAAGGCAGTGCCAACAGTATCCAGCATCTTTGGGCTGGTAGGAAAAAGTCTGTCTGCTCTTAGTGGGTCTTTGTCTTTTGGTGACTGAGAATACAGACTGGAGAGGATTTTGTGAGTAGCTGAATCTGGCCATTGAGCTAAGTTAGTTCTTAGTCCCTTAATAGACTGAAATACGGTATTAGACCTTGGATTTAGTTATGACGCTGTATGTTTTATTAACCTTAGTTTACAAAAATAAGCCATTTACTCTAGATGTTGATTACAGTTAACGTGAGTACTGTGTCTAGGTATTGTGCTTTTTTTTTAGTTAAAGCTTTTTATGCTGTTGTATTCTTTTAGAGCTAATTATAATAAATAAAAGGCCTTACTTTTGTAACCATTTTGAACATGTGTGTTTGCAGAATCTGCCTGTAAGAATATAGTGATCCTAAGAGGTGCCCTTCAGTCTGATGTCATGTCATCTGTCACATCATTTTGATAAATCAAGCAGTTATACCCATCAGCCTGAATTATTTTGTAATTATTGTTTTTATTTCATTCTTTTTCTTGCTATTAAAAAGTAATCTAAACATGTAACAGTAATAAATACTCTGTGTTACTGGTAAAGGAGAACAGACAGATAGCTGAAGCCACAGAGCTCTTTTCTGAAAGTAACTACCTAAGTCATCCAATAGTATTGTGGCAAGTGAAATTTGTACTTCATTTTTCTTTTTTTGTTCTGTTTTCATGCTCTCCAACTACTCTTCCAACTTTTTCAGAATCTGTATGTTTAAAGGTACTTGAAAAGGTGAAGGAAACATGAAGAATAATTTTGTCCACTAATTGGTGTGGAGTAGTTCTAAAAGATCCTACTGTATATTCCCTCCAAAAAAAAGTAGAAAAGGGATTTTTCTTGAATGAATCATAGCTCTTGCACATACAACACTGAGAAATCTCTTCATCTACTGAAACACATCTTATGCAATGATGCTACAAATAGACAGGCTTTAAATGTAATTATTGATTTATTGGCTAGCCTTGCATATGTGTTTTTTTTTAAGCTGATGAAAATAGGTATGTACATAGCGAAGCCATATTTGCTGCAAGCATAAAAAAGGTAATATGGAACACGTACAAAATAATA